CTTTAGAGTTTATTTACACTGGAGGCAAAATGTTTCTCTCTAAGCATCATTTACTCTTCTTAACTTGATAATGTGAAATTTGATTGCATGAAGAGAGACAGATGATTTCTGCTATGAGGCAAGGAAGATGAATAGCAGTCTAACTCTATCTTCTAGTCTCAGATAATAATTATTTACAGTATGGTAGAATTCCTATTTAGATATTTTACCGGTACTTATTTTCAATCTGGATTTAACTAGTGCAGCTTGTATGTTTTTCCAGTGTAGCATAGTGTCTTTTTTACTTATAAAAACATCTACCTACATCTAGGATCAACATGATGACCCACAAGTGACCTTTTGCTCTTTGTTAAACTAACTTGTAAACTCCTTTAGCACAAACATATAGAAAGCAGCCATTCTGACAGCATTTGCAAATATTGGAACAGATCATAGAGAGAGATTCAGGCATCACCATATTTCAGAGTTCCTTGAATTTTATGTTTAAGTTTGTCCAAAATGGTCGGGCATGAAATGCACCCCCCATATTTACTTGCAGAAGTATAATAGACAGCAGCATATTATATACTAGCGAGAGTTTCAGTGATATAAATTCATATATGAGGAAATCTGCAAGGGCAGAAAGCTGCTGTGCTGGTTAAATGATGTAGATTGTGGCATGTTCCTCTGTCTTGCTGTTAATCTCTTGCTACTTCTAATGATTTTTTTTTTTTTGATCATTTACTTTGTACATAACGTTGTCTTTGACTGCTGGCTCTATCCCTATATTGATTATCCTTGAGTTTTTTGTTGATAGTTCATCTACTTTACTGTCACTTGTTAGTTAGTCTTTACCTTCTAGTTTATGACATCGCTGACATTGGTACCACTGGTTGTAATTACATTTTTGGCTGTTCACTTTCTTGGTCTTAGTTTCTCTGGGCTTTGCTGAGCTCAGTTCTTGTACTGCATCTTCAGCCTGCTGCTGCCCTTAAGGAAATCCTCAACTATCCTGACTCCTAGCCTGAACACATGCTCACCACCCCTCTAGGTGGAAGTCACAGTGTTGAAGCTCCCTTTTCTCATGCAGCCACCCTTTTTAATAAATGAGATTAGAGTCACCATGTTAATTTGTAGCAAGTATTCACTTTCCAAAATATTAGAGATACGGTTGCTAACATCGAGAGGTAAGTGTTTTTACATAGACTTGTTTAAACAAAACGTCAAGGAACAATATTTCTAATGTGTAAAGTTTGGAACAAAGAGGAGACACTTGAGGAGCCAAATTGAGTTCTTTTATTTACTGATTGCGCATGTGAGAAGGCAAGTGTTTGGCTGCTTTAACAGAATGTCCCTTTGTAGGAACTGTTGTTATCAGAGTGTCCATAACGAATGCAGTGGTAACTGAAGGGTCTTTAATTTATTTGATTACTTTTGACACAGTTGATGGTTCTATATTGAGACTTTTCCTTTTTCTAAGATGCCAAAATCGCTTTTCTTTTCCTTGTTTCACACTAAGTGCTTTTGATTTTTGTTTCTCCAGTAAATAAATAAATTGAAACCTACAACTGAAACACTACAAAGTTCTCTTTGCTTGATATCCCCTAAGTGACTCCAGTAGAGAGCTTGGTTTTTACATACTGATGTGGAAGTCTCTAATTTGGACTAAGCTCTCCATCTTAAAGTCATTTGTTTGTTTGTTTGTTTGATTTGGATCACAGAGTAGGTGTTTCCAACTTCAGATCTCCAGACTAAAGTATTCATGTTTCTTGTCCAACCTTTTTTATTCCTGGAGTCTTTTCCATTTCAATACATGGCATTTTGGTCTTTTGAATTGTCCAGCCCCTAAACCTTTGAACTAGTCTTGTCTGTTCTATTTTGTCTCACAGGCATCTGTTCATAAGTGTATTTCTAGCAACAAGAGTAATGTCTGATCAGTGGTAGGTACCAGTAAATAAACCAAAAGAATGATTTGTGCAACTTAATAACTAGGTGACCTACAGTCTGATTCAGAAAGATACAAGCTTTAGTTAACTTAGGATTCTTCAAGGCAAGCAGAATTCTCTGCTGATTCACCCTTATCTGTTTCAGAATGGAGGTAGCTTTTCTCTTGTTACCAAAATGATTTCTGTACATAATTTAAATTCATAAACAACATATTCTACATTTTGGACATCAAGAATATGGTATTTCTTCATGAAAGTCCTATTCTCATTTATGATTTCTTGAGTTTCTATTAAAATCCTGAGTTGACACCAGGTAGATACTCAATAACAGTTTTTAAAAAGTGAGTGATTCACAGTTTATGTTTCAGTCTCAGTATTTTAAAAGCAAGATTTTTCATATTCTTCTAAAACCTGTTGTCCTCACATTTTTGGATCTCTTGATGATTGTACCACTTCCAATGTCGAATAACAAATGTGAGTGGCTTCCAGTTACTTCCTTTACCTTAGCCCCTGCATTTTATCATTGTATTTCAAATGTTGACCAAATCCTCCTCACATTGTCCAACATGTTTACTTTTACAGTAGCTCCTTTAAAAAATGTGTATTAGTATGTGTTTGCAATAGCTTCTTAACATGAACTTGTTGTCTCTAGTGTTGTCCTTCCTCTGCATGAAATTGTTTTGTGATTTTCACTTGAATCTGAGTTTGTAGCTTGGCACACAAGGCTACACCTCATCTGGCCTGTCTCTTGTCTGGCTTCATCTCTTCTGACTCCTTACCTGCTTTACTGTCTCACAAGCTATTCTGGGAAATTTGGATTGATTGTAACCATATGAAATGGTCTGCGTCTTTGAACATGTTAATTCTCTGCTCGAAACATTTTGTCTACTCCTTCAAGTATCTAGCAGTTAATCCTTCAGTTAGTGCTTTTATTCAGCAATCTTTCTTATTATTTCTGATTAATATCTGATTCCCATTAAATATCAAATGGACATAGTGTATATTTTATTTTACCTGTTTATCTTCATTTGAGTAGATAGCGTTACCAGTTTATATTTGTTCCTGAACATTTTCTAGTGTCTCTAAAATGTATGGAGCTGCTTCTAGTGTGCTACATTAGTATGAAACTGCAGTGACATAGCTCTGTGTATCTCAGTATATGCAACATCACAGGTCTGTTTATTGGAAGGAATCTATCTTCACTGGATTTTTTATTTGTAAGGAAAATCAATATGCTTTGGTATATTCTTACGTATATTCACAGATACATGTTGGCATGATATGTTAATCAGAGTGATTGTAGACCCTGATGATGGCCAGTTACCTTTAGAAGTGAGGGATAATTTTATAAATGTGACTTAAAATTTGTTGTTTTAATTTGATTCCTTACCTTTCCTTTTATGGACAATTACCTTTCCAAAGTTTTCCTGGAAATGGTTTGGATTATCTCTTTTTACCTTCTTCTTTCTTTTATGTTATTATTTTTTGTAGTATTTGCATTCCAGTCACATTAATTCTGTTGTTTGTTTTTTGAGACAGTGCCTTGATGTGCAGCTCAGTGATCCTCCTGCCTCAACCTCCCAAGTGCTGGTGTTATAGCCAAGTACCACTAGGCCTGGCTTATACTAATTTTTATGATGCTTAATCTTTCTGCTTTCTCTTTGTCTAATTTTCCTTTTTCTAAAACCTGGTTGACTTATAGCGATTTCCTTTCTTTGAATGTAGAGAAACACAAACATTTATGACTATATCTGAGTATATATCCACATACACTAATATCTTTTCAAATTACATGACATTGCTAGAAAATAGGTTTGTTGCTACTGAATAATGACTGGAAAGAGAGTCCAAGGAAAACATTTTAGACTCGACCTTTTGACACCAGCTGGTTACAGCTGAATGAATATATACTTTAAAGGTAGATGGTTGTAAGTTTTTGTTTTATTTTAAAATTGTATTTCTCTTTCTCCCTTGTGTCTTCTGGCACATTTCTCCTGCTTTAAGCCATCTTAAGTTTTGACAGTTCAGGCATGATGCTCAGGTTTTAGTGCTTAGATATCAAATATAACAATTTCTGTATATTTCAGCCAGCAAGAACTGAGACCCCTGTTGTTGTCTTAATCCAAAAACAGCATTTTAAATTCATGTAAACTTTGCCTTAAGGGATGAAGCAAAGACAATTTAGCGAACAGCGTGAGGTTAAACATATTGATCAGTAGTCTAGTAGTTCTTACTAGACTTTGGATAGAATGTAGACATAGAAAAATAGCCTTATCAATAATAGCAAAGACTTACGCTTTTGTAGACTCTCTTGTTTCTATTATACGTTTTTTGGTGGAGGAAGATAATTCAACCAGGAAGGAAATAAAAAAGAAATTGAAAAATTGACAATTGGAGTGCTAAACCTGAACTGAAAAGCTTTTTTTTTTTTTAAGAAATGTTCATTTGTTATATATTATTTAGCGAGCTAAATGTTAATAAAATTGCATATAATAATTCTGAATTTTAGCCAAAGTGTAAGACACTTTGCCTGGCAAATTAACTTCCTGAACTTAATTATGTAATGCTAATTATATAGTTTTTGCTTCTAGTTTTTATAATCAGATTCAGTACCCTGTTACCTTGAACTACATGGGAGTTTTATTTTCTTTTGGTGAAGGGAAGATTATTTTACTATTCTATATTAAATGTTATTCATCCAATAGTAGATTATTTTTTTAGTTTTCAGGTAGGATATATTCAATTTCTGTTGTATGTGTATGGAATGGAAGACCTTTGGTTTTGAGTGAACTCTTTGTAGAAAGATTCCAATGGATTTTTTTGCTTCATCTGCCCTTCATCTCATTACCATCAAAATAAATGAGAAATAAAAAAATTCCACTGAAACTGTATTTCTTCTATCATACATAATTGACTACAATATTTTACTTACAAGTTATCATATTAACAGGCTCTCCTTTGAGAGGCAATCTTTGATTATACTTGGAACAAAACCTGTATTTTTTTTTTTGAATTTGTTACTTTTTCTTTAATGTTGGAAAGCAAGTCTGTGTCTGACTGTGTAATCTTTTGTAGGTAGCTTGTATGCAGCTCATAAATGCCCTCGTTACATCTCCTGATGATTTGGACTTCAGGCTTCACATCAGAAATGAATTTATGCGTTGTGGATTGAAAGAGATATTGCCAGTAAGTGCCCTGCAGTATCCTTATTAATATTTAAATTAGAAGAGTACTTGGCGGGGGAAATTTAGATAAATTACCCTCAAGAATAATTTATCTGTGGGAAAAGACTTGAGTATAAAAATCTGTTTTTGAAATATAAATAAGATTTAGTATTATTTAATAGTTTAAATGTGCAAATGCTATAAATCATGTTGAATGGTTGGTTTATTGTTTATATGTCATGTATTAACTTTTTTGCATAATTAAAAACAATCATTCATCATAATTTCTCTTTAATATCTCTAGAATTTAAAGCGTATTAAGAACGATAGCCTGGATATCCAACTTAAAGTCTTTGATGAGCATAAGGAAGAAGATGTGATTGAGTTCTCCCATCGCCTTGAAGATATTAGAGCTGAACTGAAATATCCTTTTTTTCTGAGATCTAATAAAAAAATACAGAAAGTTACTGGTAAATCTGAAACAACCACTCCCCATAAGCATTTAACCAATTTTTCTTAAGCAATATGAAATAAAACCTTTATGTATCAGAAAAATGGTATTGTTTTAGTAATGTGTGGTTTGGTGAATATTCACATGTGTAAATGGATTTGACTCTGAACCAGCAGCTGCTGTGTAATCAGCTTCTTGTGTATGCATGTAATTGCTTGTCTCTGTGTTTGGCACTTCCCTGCTATCTACTCCCTCCAGCATTAGGAATGTGGTAGCCTCAGCCCGGCCACTGCTCCATCTGCTCATGCGTTCATGCTCCTGTAGGCTAAGTGTTAATTGTGTTGGCGTGCAGGTGTCTGCAGCCTTCACAAGGGCCCTTCTCTCAATGAGGCCATCTCCATGAGAGATGACACTCTCAGCATTCCAGGGTCAGAGCGCACTTGGAAGTCGGTCCTTTGTTCACCAGGAGCTGGCTACTGCCCTTCGCCCCCAGCAGGTGTTCACTTTGGTGAGGCAGGTTCACTTTGGTTAGAGCTGATTATAAAGGAGAAGCCAGAAAAGAGTCAGATCATGTTGTCATTTTCAGTTTTTCCTGATAAGATACACAGTAGCATAAGATACACAATAGCATAAGATACACAATAGCTGTTCACAGCCTTATGGAGCAGGTTTTGTGTTGTTCTGCTGCTATAATTGGTGTGGAGTATTAAAAAATCTGTATGTTCTTTAATCAACTTACTGAAGCATCCGATGTTTATAATATGGTGTGGAACACAGTTAAAGAAACAAGAGCAGAAGGATATTTTATTTCTATTCTTCAGCATCTTTTGCTTATTCGAAATGACTGTTTTATAAGGTAAGAAGAACTTGTATCTGATTTTTTCTTTGACTAAAAAAATGTCTATTAATTGGGAAATTCACTTGCTATTTTATTTGGACAAACAAATAATTTTATTACTATCATAATATTGATTTACAGAGTGTATAGTTTCCTCTGGGCATACATTTAGTAGACATATGATGGTAAAATAATAATACTAGTTCTTTTTATGCTCCAGTGGATTCTTGGTTACAACTTTTTATCCAAATAAAAATGCAGACTAGCAACAAATTAGTAGTTATCTTATGCATAATACTTTCTGGTAATTCCTTAGGCAGTAAGAATGATTTTAAGTTTCTTTTTATAAGTTACATGAATCCTATCAGTTTCTTTTGTTACTAATGAAGTAGCTAAAGTGTACCCTAACAATACAGGCACATTTAATGTTTATAATGAATTGGAAAATCTACACAGCTTTTTAAGTTTGATTACATTATAGCCATTTGAGCTTAACCAATTGTTTATCCTTTTTGTACTTCCATCTACATTATAATACACTTAATTGTAGATATAAGTACCTAACAATGTTGCTCTGAGGGTTAAATGTGTGATGTGAGGAAAACTGTGAGCCAAGCGCCTGGCACATGGTGTATGCTCAGAGTTCTCCATGCTGTCTTCTCACATCTATTGCTGGGTTTTTTTTTGGTCTTTTTCCTTTTTATCGGTACCAGGGATCGAACTCACGACTGCCTGCTTGCAAGGCAGGTGTTTATGCCACTGGCTAAATCCCCAGCCCCTTATTGCTGGTTTTTGAGAGAGACTAAGATTTCTGAATACACAGTCATTTTGGAGGAGAAACAAATTAAGTTTTGCTGAAATTTCATTCGCAGATCCTGAGTAACCTGTCTTTCACCAACTTTCTTCCAGGTGGGAGGTTAGTTAGAAAAGTTTCACTCAGGCTTTGCTCTCTGCATGAAGCCAGAGGGTAGAGAAAAGTGTTTTCATGGCTCTGTAACTGGGGACTGAGTCAGAATATTGACGCGTCAGGTTCTTCAGAATGAGTTCAGTGCGCAGGTCAAACCTCTCTTGTAGCAAAACATCTCATCAGTGTCTTAAAATTCGATTTAAGTAAATTGTTTTGAAGTTTAATTTGCCGGTTTTTGTGAGTTTAAAATGAGGTAACTTAAATATTTAACTACTTTGTAAATGCTGGATTCACAATATTACTTAAATAAGATTTTTAAATTACTGGTGCTCTGCTAATTGTAATGCTGCATTTCTACTCCACTTAAAAATAAAATTGACACCTCTATTCACTCTCAAGAAACCTCTTCCATTCTTGGTGCATGCCTGTATTATGCTACCAACTTCTGGTCACTTGATGCTGTTTTGAGTTTCCATGCACTGAAGCAGTTGTTAGTGTTCAGAGGAGCTACAGGGCCTGTGTCTCAGGACTTCTGATCCCTTTGCCTGGACGCCAAGAGGGCTCGATGTTGTTCGTACCTTCAGAACAGACGACGTTGTGAACTGCCGAAGGCATTCTGTTGTGATCCTGTCATTTTTAATGGAAGGAATAAGAATTCAAGTCCAAGAAAATTGGCCCCTCATTTTGTTATTTATTCTTTTATGGGTTTAAGACTGCATCATCATTGTGGTCATACACATATTTTTGTCGTATATTCATCTTTAAGATATTTTACTTATTTAGCTTTTTATTTACATACAGTACACTTTACATTTTGTTGGTGTACAGTTCTAGGGAGCTTTTTGTTTTGGTTTTACCTTTATTTCTACTGAAGGTAAACTTAGATTGTACCTTTTCCAGTAACGTTTTGAATGACTTTTGATGTGAACAAATGAAACTTTTCATTTTTCCTATTAGATTAAAATGCCAGAATGCAAAATGTTCTCACTTAAAATATTAAGAAACATAAAAGTTAGAATCTTACACAATTTTTCACCTTTGAGATAGAAGGAAATTTTACTGAAATGTACCTCCATTGGCGAAGGTGCATAAATATAGTTCCTATTTCTCAAGAAATGTAGTTCCTGTTTCTTGGGGGAAAAAGTAAAATGCAGCAAGGTAATTGGAAGTGGAGATCACATTCAGTTCAGTACTCAAGAGTTAGTGACTTTGTAGCTGTAAAATCCCACGCAAGTTGAATGTACATGGAAGATATGTATCTCGTCTTTGTTAAAAATACCACAGATAATGTGAATATGATTGCATGGTATTCTTTAACAAAAATGACATTTTCCCATTGAAATAATGATGATTTATATTTAGTTATTAATTAGGTTATTCAAACAGTTTTCTGATGAATTAATTCACTAAGATTACTCGTAGAGATTGTGTTGTATATGTGCATTTCTGGAATTTGAAAGCACATTATTTATTTGTTATTTTTGCCTGCTGAAAGAGATTTGACAAAATTTTAGCTATAGTATAAAGAAATTCATATTGAGCATTGTGGTATTGAGAAAAATTTTACTAACATGATTTATAAAATGATAAAATGAATTATGTTGTTAAAAATTTAAAAAATTAAACATTAGAATACAATTATGATTTATCTTCTAAATTTCCAAATGTGATAGTTATCTGTGTGAAGTACATGTCCCTAGTGTAAATGAAATTATAATGTCTAAAATTTTAGGTTATGATACTGTTTAATGTGTTTGAGAAAATTGAGGCAATCGGATAATAAAAGCTTCTTGCTTTGGTTTGTGCATAAGAATAATTTCTTGAATATTTCTACTTTATGAAAATTAATGAGCGTTATTTGTCTTTACTAATGCATAGCTGTGGTATTTCATCACACTACATGGTTTCTTAGGTATAAGATAAATAGGTCAAGGACAGTAGGTTACAGTTTCAGGGAGGGAAAGCCCAAGTGCCCAGAGGACATTTCATAAGTGAGAGAGAGGGTTGGGAGAGGGAAGTATTATTAAAGTCTTTGAAGGAAGAAAGAATTCCAGGTGTTTGGGGATGGAGTACTGTGCCTCATTAAAATAGTACCTATTCCTGGATGTGAGGGCGATCTGGATGTGATATCTGTCACTATATTGGTTGCCAGGGTCAACTCAGCTGATCTGGCTGACCACGTGGACATCCCTTTCTGGTGTCATCACTATATGTCCCTTCCAAAGCCCGTGACCATGTTGGACAGAGAGGACCATTGCCTTGGTCAAGGGTGTAGGGTTAACTGCACTCCTCTGCTAGGACCTCCAATGAGCTCCCAAAATAGTTCCCATTCCATTGCTTTATTTTGGTTTTGTTTACAGAATCTTTTGTGTGTCTTTCACATTTGTTGGCTTGAATCTTCAGAGAGTTCTTCAGTCACGGTTACTGGAAATGTAGATGGACTGAATTTAGCTTACAGTGACAACATGGACTCTATTTGAGATTTCAGTTAAACTTTGATTTTTTTGATGTTATTTTACCAAATTTGTCTACTTTATTTTAGAAATACAAGGTTGTTATTACATGTAATTCATAGTGTCAGTTTTTGAAAACTGACACTAGTGTCTGTATTTTGAAAATAAATTATATAACATAGTGTCTGTATTTTGAAAATAAATTACATAACCACAAGAATATTACGTTGGGTTTTTAAGAAAGATTTTTGTTTGTATTAATAAAATAAATTAATGGTAGCTATTAATTCCACATGGTGTAGTGGAAGGGATAACAATTTCTGAGGAACACTGAAGTACCTATCACTTTATCTTAATTTTTTGTTATTATGGATGAATTATAAGAAAATCATATTTTATTTCCTACAAGCTTTAAAAATGTATTTGAAATCATTAGAAGGAAAGTGACAATTTTATTTACTCTCTCATGTTATATGTTGTTACTTGTTAAAACTATATAAAATAATCGTGCAACTTGAAATCAAGCTTACCAACAAAATCACATTTTTATGTAGTTACATTAATGAACTAAGTGCATACTTACTGTTTTCTTTGATCTTAGACAACAGTACTTCAAATTAATTGACGAGTGTGTGTCCCAGATTGTGTTGCATAGAGATGGAATGGATCCAGACTTTACGTATCGGAAAAGACTAGATTTAGATTTAAGTCAATTTGTAGGTGAGTATATTTTTATTATTTAAATAGAAATATTTTATTCCGTGAGCTAGCTCTAGGGTATTTCTTCTCAGAATGTGGCCTGTGGACTGTTTGAGGGTTCTTAAGATTCTCTCCGGGATGCTAATAGTCAAAACTAGTGTCATATAATACTAACTTGTGCTAATATCTTGCCCTTGTGGCACAAAACAGTGGTAGGTAAGCTGTTGGCATCTTGTGATGAGTTAGTGTAGTAGCACAAAACCGTAATAGTAGGTATCATGTTCTTTATACTCAGTGGAAGAAAACAGAGGACTGGTGATGTAGCTCAATGGCGTAGTGTTTGCCTAGCAGCCCTGCTTTCAATGTTTAATTCCCAACACAAGCAAGCAAAATCACAAAACAAGCAAACAGAACATACGTTGATTTTACTTAAAAATTTGAGGTACTAAGAATGATTTTGTTACATATTGATTCTTGAGTATATCTTTTAAACATACTGTGTTAACAAATGGGATATACACATAAAGATTTCTACATACTCAAGTATAATTTTAAAAAGTTCTGTAATTGAGTTATGACCAGAATTGGCCCCTTTTTCTTCCTACTTTTAAAGATTGTCATATAGACTGGCTACTCAAGTGTAAGTGTTTGACTTACGCTTTAAGAAATGAAATGAATTAAGGTTGTATTTCAAAGAAAATGATTGACAGAATTTGTTGCCAATGAGAAAATTTGCGCGTTTAAGTGAGAAATTTGAATTTTGAAAACTTTTGTGTACTATGCCAGTTTGACAGTTTCTTAGTACTAAAAAAATTGAGTGATGAGGTTAGTGGAAAATACTGTACTCCACAGTTATTTGGATATTGTTTAAAGAGAGGTACCTGCATACGAACAGGACTTGGCAGTGAATTTTTCTAAGTGACCAATACCTGATGATACAGATTCATTCAGCTTAGGCAAAAGATAAAAGTGCATTAATGACCAATGATCTTAAAGCAACAAAGTTCAGCACTGATACATGTTATTATTTCCCTGTAACTATTTAAGAAGTTCCATTGGTCAAATTTGGTGTAACATCAAAGAAGTCTCATAATTCTCTGAAAAACCTATTGAAACACATTCCGCTCTTTCAGCTATGTCTGTGCAAGGTGATTAGTTCTTGCAGGCCCAAGAAGAAGAATGAAATGAACAGAATGAATAAGAAACTGGGTAATATTAAATTACCCAGTGATAATAAAACTTTTTTTTCAAGACAAATTTGAAATTTCTAAGGAGTAGGATGTTAACACATAAATTAAGAAAAAAACATACTTTAAATATGTGGCAAGCAAAAATGTGGAAAGATTTTGCATAGTGTTTTAAAAATTTTACTTGGACCTTAGGAATTTGTTTTGTTTTTTTGAGTAGCTACGGTGTTTTTTCATTGAACCTTTTTGAGGAAAATATAATCTTTGCTACTTGGCTATATAAGTGAAGCATTTGCATATTATAATAAATTTATTGTACTTATGAATTTTAAAAGCTCAGAATAAACATGTAGACTTAAATACAGGAGAAAATGTATTTGTGTGAATATATAAAGAATAGATGAGGTTGGGTAGTGGATGAGAAAGGTATTGGGAAGCACAGAGAATAGACGACTTGATATCTTAGGATGGAAATCAGGAGATACTGTCTACAAAACAGGAGTCAGAAGGTTAAACATTTAGTTCTCTGGAGCCAGCCAAATTTACTGAATAAATGTTAAAAAAAAATGGGCTTACACAGGGAACAATGTGTTTATCCTTTATAATAAGAAGCTACCTATAAGTTTTAAATAAATCAAGAAAGCAGTATTTACATATTTCAATTAAGAAGCTATACAGAAATATAATCTAATATAGAAAGATGTAAGAGGATGCATTTAGTGGGGCAGATATTGGGTGTAGTAATTTGTTGACTATTCATTATAAGCTCTTCTGTAATTTTTTTTAAACCATGCTCATGTATTAGTCTCATTAAAAGAAGGATAATATCATAGTTTATGTGAGTCATTCTCCCTGCATACATTTTACCATACACACATGCATATATAATAACTTAATTCATTATTGATGAACTTTTAGGTTATTTTCAGTGTTCTATTTTTGTTTTTGCTAAAATAAACAATATTTTAATGAGTATTCTTGCCAAAAGCAAAATCCTAGAAAACAGCATTGGGTGAAGGAAAATGTAGTTTAAATTTTTAGTGTGTATTGCCTATTTCTTCATAAGCAATATTCCCAACTTCTATGAGTATGTAGGTGAATTGATTTCTTTGTATTAACGCTAGTACTTGACATTATGGATCACTTCATCCTTGCTAAGGTTTCTCATTTTAAATTTTGTATTTTGACATTATTGGGGAGCAGTGAATATTTTAGCACATGTTACTTGCTTTCTCCCTAATGTTATGTTAATTAGCGTGGCCTTTATTGGCTATCATCTTCTGTTTCTTCCTTGACAACATTTATGGAATTGTAATAGATACCACTGAAATGTTGTGTTATAGTTGAACTCTCCTCTTTCCTGATAAAAGTTTAAAGTTGAAGGTGGATTAATCATTTATTTATTTTGGTACTGTGCTCTAGTAAACCTTCTTTATTCCAATATTTAAAAACATGTATTTTGTTTATCAGCGACAGTATTTCTGATTCTTTCCTATAATTCTTTTCTTTATAAACATTAAAGTCATAATGAATTAAATTTCTTGTCACTGCCATTTTAGATATTTGCATAGATCAAGCTAAACTAGAAGAGTTTGAAGAAAAAGCATCAGAACTTCACAAGAAAGTAAGTAACTTCGTCTAAGTTAATAAGGTTATGTGGGAAGCATTTCAGGCACAGCTGGGGCTCAGAGGATACTTGTTATAGCCTCTGACTTATTAACTACTTTAGTTATGTATACAAATGCCCTTCTGCAAGGGGATTTCTACATCATTGTATGATTTAAACCTTAATTTTCCTCTCTTACCCTTACCTTTGTTCTCACATTTTTCTATTTATTGTCATCTGGTATGCTACATAATTTATGTATTTATATACATATACTGCATATATGAATATATGAGCTATTTGTTCCTGTAGACTAAATTTTAAGAGATTTTTGTTTTATTATACATTCAGTAGGAACAATTCCTGGCTCTGTATAAGAACCAAAAAGCATTGTTTCTCAACGTATGAATGAGTGCTTGAACAAAATGTATAAAATTGAAATTTAAGATTTTAATAATTCTGAAGAAATCATAGTTTACAACCATCATGTTGAAACTGTACGTAAAATTTGGAGAGATTTATTTGCCTTTTATTTTGATTAAAGTTATTGCATTATTTTATGTCAAACTATATAAATTTGCCTGTGTAGGTCAAAATTGCTAGATACTACTAGTTTGTTTCAACCTAGTAATATTTCTGACTATCCAGCCATTCCCTACCTTTTTTTAAAGTACCATTTTGACCTTTGGTCTCTAGTTTAGCATGCTCCTCTTAATGTTTTTCTTGGGGAAGTTTTCACATTTGAGAAGTCATTCTGATTTGATTTACTAAATTACTGGCTTCTTATTTTGGTGGACTAATAATAATCACCACCTCTACTGCTGCTGCCACCACAAAAAAGTGAATATTCACAAAGTGCACTTTGACTTTGTGTTAGGCACCGTCCTGAGAATGGTACATTTTTATGTTGTAGTTCCTAAATCTATCTTGAGAGAATTGTCCTTTTCTATAAACTTTTAAGACTACGTAGAACTTGCAGATGGAAGACATCCTTCCCTAAGTTAGGACTAATTTAGAAAAGGCATTTACATTTCTTGGTTGTGAAGTTTTGAAGTGTTGCGTTGACCAGATACCTAGTGAGGTGTAACAGCTCAGGCCTTTAGGTGGAGGCAGGAGCAGCAGCTATGAGTGTGCTGTTGTTGTTACCCAGAAGTGTTTCATGGGTGAAGCAAATTAATGAATTGATTAAACTGTCAAAAGTGTTAATAGCTGGTAGATGTTCATATTGTAGCATGACGGCTCCCCCCCAGCAAACTTCGTATTCTAAGCTCAGTAAGCACTTTTAGTTTTCTTGGAAGAGTAGTAGTAAATATTCAGGTACTAAATTTGGGTATATCTCGAAGAGTGTAAATTTGTTCTTGTTATCATTTTTGGATAGTCAGTGTCTATGAATGGATTTAAATATGATTTTCCCAGTAGATGTCTTTTAACTTGTAAGCTTCAAATGCAAATAAAAGTAGGACCTTGTTCAAGGTTAGTTGTCTTTTTTTCTTTTACTCAGAAATTGTATGTGTTAGGTATACTTAGAAAATATTGCCTGCTCCATAAAAGATTTCTATTGCCATCCCATTTTGTATATATCAGCAAAAACTTTGCTCTGATAGCTTTATAAGGACACATGTAAATACTTGGTTTTAGGCAGGAAGCTATCATAGTAGCTAGACACATTCTTTATTTTGGTGCATAAATTTGAAAAATGAAGAACAAAAATGTCAGAAAGTATATAGAGGATATTGAATTATCAGCCTTCTTATACAGAGATGCTATTCCATTTACCCTAGGGAATGAAATTAAGCATAACCTCAACTTTAACTGTGTTTCTTGACATTTTTGCGTGTAATTTTCTAAGTGTAATATCGCTGTAGCAACTCTTTTTGGAGAAGCGGGCTATCCTATTAGTTTTTATAAGGTGTGCTTTTAATGGAGATTCATTTTATCCCCAAGGCTATAGTGATTTTACTATAGATATTACGAAAATGCTAAAGCAAAATTTATGTTTTGTTTGACTCTTGCAGGCAACAATGTACAGATTTATCTTGTTGGTAGGAAACACAGATGCTTTCAATGTGTCCAAGTTGATTTGATACATTTTGATAGGGTATACTAATTATAAATAATAGTTTTGTTAGTCTTTTCCTCTGGTCAACTAAATAATACTTTTTCTTTCTGAATGTTAATCTAGGTATAGGATAGCACGTGTTAATATTGGCAGATGCTTTCTTCAACTCTCACAAGAAGAATTTAATTCATTTTCCTTGCAGTGTAGCCATGAACTTTGGCTTAGTTGTAAAAGTGGGAAAAAAAAGAAAGTGACCTCAAAAGCTTTTGATGCAGGGACAGCGGCAAAATTTAATATGTGACACTGATGTAGACATTTGGTATATAAAAGATGATTTGCCGGGGGTTGGCTCATCATTTCATTCAACAAAATTATTTTTTGATCTTAATTATAAATGTAAGGCCCTGGAATCCTGATGAGTAAAATAGAAAAGGTCTCATTTATGATCTTCCAGGTTGGTGATTGTTATCGAGGCATGTGATACATTTTAATATTGTCATATTACAGCATCATGATAGCTATGGTAGAAAACCCTATATATGGTGTATAAGCCTAGAGGCAGGATTTCTTACCTAGTCTGGGAGGCCAGAGAATATTTACTCATAACTGTGACACCTAGTGTGAGGTAAAATGTTGACAGATCCACGGAAGAGTTGAATGCAAATTTATGTTGAGTTCCCGATAGATAGCAAACTTGACATGTGTGTCGTAGTTTGGATGTGGTCTCATGTTCCCTTCCAAAAGCCCATGTATGAGAGCTAGGTCCCCACAGTGGCACTGTTGGGAGGTGGTTTGACTTGAAGGTGTGGGGCCTAGGTGCTGGAGCATGAGGAGGTTCTCTGTGCAGCCCTGACATTGCTTGTCAGAAGGAAAGGACTGACCCCGAAGCAGTGAGCCGCCCTCCCACCCTCTCTGCTCCTGGGTCATGCTGTACTTAGTACTTGTTTCCACACACCATCCTGCCACGGCGATCTGTACCAGGAGGTGGCGTAGCCAAGGAGCTGCCCTGCCACAGAACCTTGGCCACTCCCTTTGGCTTTTTTACCTCCAAACTACAATGCAAATAAATCTCCTCTTCATACATAGCCTGTGCCAGCAGTTCTGTTACAGTGATGCAAAGCTGACAAATTCGTCTGTCACTTTCCTAAAAGTGCCTTTCTTCCTTGTATTTTATGCCCTCTTGTTTAAGTCCATGCTATCGTATGAACAACCAGGCAGCACTCTAGTCACTTTACATACACTCCCCTCCTTTATTTGTTTTTTCAGTCAGACACATACTTCTTCGGAGTGCTGGGTCTCATTTCCTTTCTAGTTCCCTGTCTTCCAACTCAGCTCAGACAAACCATCAGTTTTTGCGTGAGTAACTGCAGTCACCTCTCAGCTAATTTCTGTGCCTCTAGTGTTTCTCTTTCAATTCATCTTTCATACTGCTTTCAAAGTGCAGATTTGATCCCTCATCTTCTTAGAGTACATACTCTTACAGCTCTCCGTGATCTTTAGGAAGAATGAGTAACTGTGGCTTATTGCACATTTTCTTTCAACAGTTTCATCCCAGTGTTCATCTCTAGTTTCCTCTCTGCAGTTTGTTTTTATACCTCCTTTTGTGTTTCCCTTACCATGGATTATTTCTCATCCACCTGTGCACTGCGCTGTTCCCTCTGTTTGAAGCGCTAGCTGCACTTCTCACCAGCTCCTCCATTTCTTCAAACCTGATGGTCACCGTTGCTGCTGCAGGAATCATTTATTGGCTTTCAGTCTCTGGGACTGTATTGCTGATTTAGGGATAACCATTTGCTTTTATTTCACCACCAGACATTGTGCTTTCATCTACTACTGAAGGGCATATCCTAGATGTGCTGTTACACATTTATTGGAAATATGTAGTTTTGGGTTAGTTCCCTCAGGGTTCTTAGATATTACTGATTGTAACAGTGCCCTGAAAAGTTTGAGTATTATTTTAACTTTTTTGCAAAGAATAATAATATTTAAAAACAAGATTTGTTGAGGGAAAGATCTATATATGTATATATGTGTATATATATATATATATATATATATATATATATATTTCTGTATTGGTATCTGGACTTATGGACCTGTGTATCAATAGCTGACTGCTGATAGGGATTTGGAACCTATTAATCTATGATAGTGATTGAAGAAGATCCGATCTTGTGAGCAGTGTAGAGTGAGACAAACAGAAGAGTAAGGAAATAATCCTGTCATATGCCAGTGTTAGGGGAGTGGATTTTAAGGAGTAGGACTGCCAGAACGAACAATTGATTGGAGCGATCAGTGAGTAGTAGCTGGAGAACCAGAACCCTGTGTTGTCATGGAACGTGGAAAAGACGCTGAACACGGAGGTGTTGCTGTGGGGCAGGACTGACTGCAGTGAGAGATGGGAATGTTGTTCTCTTTTTCAACATCAACGCTGTGTCTCCATGTACTTTATAGTGGCCAGCATGAATAAGATTGAACTTTTAAACTTAATTTAGTTTTTGTTCATTTAAAGTTGTACTTAAATAAATAATGGCATATCCAGTGGTTATTGACTAGCACACTTATGGAGAGATCACTTAATATGAGACTATGAGAAAGCCAGGGAGATTTCTAGCTGTAGAATAATAATTATCTCTGTGTTAAAACCAGTCTAAGGATCCCCTTTGTAAACTAAACAAAAACCAAAGACCTTAGTAAACTGTTTCGTTCTATATTGTTGTTTTTCTGGTTGACTTTAACTGTCTTTAATGTGTGGAAGGCTACATTTGTGAAGCAGTTATTCTTTTTTGTGATGAATTGATTTTTTTTTCTTTTTAAAAAGAGCCAAATACTTATTCTTAATTATGAGATAATACTCTACTTCAGTTGTCTTAGAAGAGGTTTTCAGTCCTTACGATGGCATCGTGAAACAATTTGAATGCTAGATGAGCACTTGTGATAAGTGATTAAATAAATTTAAAAACTCATTGGATTCACAAATTTTGTTGTTTCCCTTTCTCCCAGAATCATACTAGGGACTTTGAATGACTAATTTATTGTTAATCTCTCAAGGATAGTAGGAGATGTGTTATAAGAAAAAAATCTATAGTTGATGCATTTATAAAGTTGGAATTATTCATTAATATATTTAAGTGGACTGCTTTTAAATTATGTTAATAAACTTCAGATAAGTTTCAGGTATAAATTTTTGCAGGTGTGAGGCAAAGAACTCAATACAATGCTTTGCTCTGTATTATTTTACACAAAATTGCGTGGATATTGAGGGACTTTTAAATAAAATGCTAAGGTTATATGTAGGTAGCTGTGGGCCAGTTTGCTCTGTGGAGAGGAGGTGATCACAGACGCCATCTCTGATTTCTCCTATTTCTTTGGGAATAAATGATGTTAGTGGGATGTGGAGAGACTTAGACAAAGGCTGTGTGTCACTTATCAACAATCTTTTTCTTTTACAAGTTAATTCAGAGATGTATATCCTATTGACAGATCATTAGAGTCATATTCTTATGTGAAGAATAATACTTTTCATTTTCATTTTCCTCTTCTCTCTTTCTCTTTTTCCTTTTCAGTTTGAAAAAGAGTTTACTGACCACCAGGAAACTCAGGTTCAATTGCAGAAAAAGGAGGCAAAGATTAATGAGCTTCAAGCAGAGTTACAAGCTTTCAAAGCTCAGGTAAAATACCATTTGGAGTGAATTTGATATTGAAACCACAACAGGGGCGTAAAGGTCACATTAGATCTTCATAGCATCAAAGTGTTTAAAGTTTAATTTCCCTTGTATATTTTATTAGTGTTATTTGTATGTATTTCCAATTTGCTTTGTTTATGTTTTAAGAAATTACTTTGCCACTTCTTTTCCTATGTACAGTTTTAGGAATCTCTTAAGCCTTACACTTTAACCTGCTTGCTCTGTTTCATTTGGGTTACGTTTCTGATGTCTTACGTTCCTAAGTAATTAAGCATAGAGGTTAAGAAAGTCTTTTACTCTTCGATTTGTCATTCATCACTGATTTTTATCCTACTACAGGAAATTATTGCTCAAGCTATTTATTTTCCAAAACCTTCAGCCTATTGGTACCTTGCCGTGAAAGATAACCTCTAGCTGAATGAGAACATTTTCTGATAATTTTTCAATTTCCAAAAGTAAACAGATTTAAAACATGACAAAAAAGAGAGCAAATCTGGATTATGAAGCAGATAGCTCACATCTACCCGCTACCATAAAACATTAGATAGCAAGAAGTACATCATCTGCATGTTGATTTGGATGAAAGCACAAAGGTTAGAATTCATAGCTAAATATCTTCCTGTGGCATTGTATACAGTGAGCAGTAAGTTTGGGTTTGCTATGGTTTTCCCTTCATCCTAATTTGTGGTTGTGCTAAAATCATCTTAGGTATATACTGTTTCATATATCATTGACAATTTTATTTTCTTTTATGGATAGTTTTTTAATAGAAGTGATTTGCAAGATACCTTAAGAGATATCTATATCTTAGTGTTCTATTTAATTACAAAATTAAAATCTGTCTACAAAATAAATACTTCTTTAGTGGCTGTGAGAAGGGAGTCCCAGGTTTTATTGTGATTTTTTCATCCTTCCCATATGGGCGCTTCTCTGTCATATTAAAAGAAACATTTGATTGTGTTCTGTGTGACTAAAATATGTTGGACAAGTTTTTTTCTGCCTGGCTTATGTAACTATAAGAACTTCTTTTTCTTTCAAATTTTTGCCAGTAGAAGGATTACTTGCTAATCTACTCTAGAGTGATCTAGATTATAAAAAATGTAGCCATCATCTTTGGATAAGTTATTGCTGCAGAGTTTTTTTTAATATAAAATGGTAATAAATTTTATGTTTCACAATTGAAATTAAGGAATCTTATAAGTTCTTTTAAATTGTACATAATAAAGACCTGTGATTATGACTAACAGAGGAAAGCCTGGAATTAGAGATTTAATATTGCTCACCATATTCAACTTAGAAGAACAACAAGCGAACTTTTTCTTTGGATTTGTCTTTGTATTTCTCATGAAATGCCTGCATTTATCTTAACAACTTCTCTTTAATCAAAGCTAGTTCAGTACAAGATGATGAATAAAATATGTCCTACTGTCTGATTTCCTTCCTTTAGTCACTTACACTTATGAGCAGGATAGTTACAATGTACAGTGAACGTGCTCTTGAAACATATATTCACATTATTCGTGTGTTATCAAGTGAATGACTCTGGGGCAATATTCCAGCCATACTTTTAAGATAGTACTTGTTAACTGCAGAATGTACACGCTTGTGAATATAAATTATATACATCTCTGACATTCAGAAGGCAGTCCCATCCTTGAGAAACCCAGAGTAACACCAAGCAGGTTCTTGTTTTACACTTAATGTTTGTAATAAGGCATGCTTTTTGATTCTCTGTCCCTATGTCTTTCAGTTTTTCTATGTGCTGATAGCATGTCCTTGATTTCAGGCTTTCGTATGTGATCCAGTTTTCCTAGTCTTGTTGCAAACCTTTTAAAATAATATTTTGTAAATGTCTTCCATTTGTAGGATAGTTCTCACACATAATTGCACATACACATCCATATATATGTGTATGTATATATATATAAAAATATACATACATCACTTAGAATTGAAGTTAATAATTTCAAGAAGTTAACCTAGAAAATTTTCTGCAAGGTCCAAATTCATGTACTGAATTCTTAACATACTATGGTAACATAAAGACAAAGGTGTCCAGTGAGCATAACTGGTTGTTTTTCATTCCTCATTTTACTTTATGGTTTTTTTTTGGGGGGGGGGTTGTTTTTGGTGTCATTTGAGTTTGTAGAAAGGACTTCTGTAGAAGAAGTGGGACAGTGTTGTCAATTGTAGTTTCAGACCTGTGCTTGCCAGTTTCTCTCCCTGTCCTTTATTTATCTAAAACATTTTTTTAGTGGCTGTCGTCTGCCATCACTTCCTTAGGTGCTGGGAAAGAATAGTAACAACATAGTCACACTTCCCTCATCAAGCTTACCGTGTGTCAACGCAGTCGTGAATAATTCGCTGAATAATGGTTTCGTGGTATTGAGAAGAGCTATGAAGATGCTTGAGTGCTGCGAGTGTACATGAGTAGGCAGATCAAGCTTTGGTGTGGAAGGGACACTGGCTCAGCCTAGGAAGGATAGTAGAAGATGGCTAGGGGAAGGGAATACCTCAGTCAAAGGGAACACTGGGTACAACGACTCTGATATCACTATGAGGTCAGCACTTACATGGAATTAGAAGAAAATTATTTGAAAGGATAGTTCATAGAAACCAGACCAAGACAAACTCTTACTTAGATCATTTTCTTGGAAGTGACCTGTATGTCCATCAGCAGATGAATGGATCAAGAAAATGTGGTCTTTGTACACAATGAAGTATTACTCTGCCAGTCTTTTGTAGGAAAATGGATGTACTTTTTTTTGAAGCCGAATCTCACTCTGTAGTTCAGGCTGGCCTTAAACTCATGGGCCTCAAACTTGAGGCAGTCCTCCTACCTCAGCCCCCTAAGTGCTAGGATTACAGGTGTGTACTAGTATGCCTGGCTTGTATGTACCTCAAGACTAATGTTACATGAAAGAAATCAGACACACAAACTTAAATACTGAATGACTTCTCTCACATGAGAAGCCCAAAATCTCAATGAAAAGCACAATAAAAGATAGATAATAGGAAGTAGGGAAATAGATCCTTTTTGAAAGGGAAGAGAACAAAGAGATGGAGGAAAGAAGAAGCAGAGGAGGGGAAAAATAATTAAGATGTATGTTGTATATGTACCAGCTTCTATGAGAAATGCACTCATTACGAACTTTACACATGCACAACTTGTAAAAAATTGAATTAAATTGATAAATAGAATAGTAGAAATAAATAAATTTAAAAGTTAGATTTTGTCCCAAAATGCATTTACACATCATTGAGAAGGTTTGAGCAAAGGCATGATGTAGAAAAACCATTTAAACCTTTGTATTCTATGTTTTTTGCTAATCACTTACATGCAAGTGTTCCATAGAGCTCTATGCACAGATGTTTTCTCATACAGCATATTCTCTGCAAACCCTACTGAGTTTTTTGCCTTCCATGGCTTTAACTGTCTCCCAGAGACAGCAGCCTTTCCAGCCCTCTACATCTACATACCCATTTCTCTCTTGGGCATGTCCACCCAGATAGCCGTAACTACATGACATGGTGAGTTACAGTTTTGGCGTTTATGTTTTCTTGAAAAGAAAAGCTAAGTTTGCTTATTGTTTTGGAAGCACTTTTTTTCCCTTTCAATTTTGTGTTTTAGTTAAATCACATGAAATTACTGATAGTTATTTTTGATTTAAGAAACTTTATTTTTCTGTAAAATGTACTTTTTACAACTATAAAAAGGTCTTATTTTTTCCTCTAGTTTGGTGCCTTGCCAAGTGACATGAAAATTCCTTCGCTCCAGTCAAAGGAAGAAGGAGCTGACCAGCCCGCACTTCCTTCTGCCCCTCTCCCGCCCTCTTGTGGAGGGGTGCCACCGCCACCACCACCTCCTCCACCTCCTCCACTCCCAGGAATGCCCATGCCATTTGGTGGTCCTGTGCCTCCACCACCTCCTCTGGGCTCTCTTGGTGGAAGAAACACTCCTCCTCCACCAACTTTGCCATTTGGATTGAAGCCAAAGAAAGAATTTAAACCCGAAATCAGCATGAGAAGATTGAATTGGTTAAAGGTAAAACACATACATAGAAGAAAATGTACTTTACCTTGATGAAAGTTTAGTTTTTGATTGCCTGTTACATAATTTCCACTGGGAACCTTAAAGTAAGAATAAATTAGTTGTTTCTAAAAAGGGAAGTATTGCTATGGAACTCTTTGCAGTTGACTAAAGCTTTCTGGCTTAGAAATTTGGCAACAGTTGCTCTTTCAATGGGATTCGATTTGTAATTAAATTGATAATTTATCATGATTGGAATAGAACCCTGTATTATTTATGAAGTGTTTTTGAAAACTACAAAAAAAAAGTTAGTATTTTTTAAGAACTGTTTTCTGCTGGTAGCTATTAGGGACATATTAATAGTTGTCAAAAGCTGATAGCTACTGAAGTCACAGCAATTCCGATCCTGTGGACAGATAGATTCTTGGCCACATAAGCATGGGATGCACTGTGTAATGTGTCCTGGCCTTCCAGAGACAGAGAACAGATGAGTGTCAGTAGTCACTCTGAGAAGTCAAATTGAGAAGACATAAATTAAACTTAATTTCATTCAGCTTCAGATCCCCGGCTGTTTGATCACGAAAACTTTTCCTCTTAAGATCTTAACACTCCTCAGAATTTATATTTCACTGAACAGACTTTGGGGAGACACCTACAGAGATGACTTCATAAACATCTGTGGGCAGCTGTGGCATGCGGGTTCTGGACGTAGTGAAACACCTAGCTGTTTATGAACCTGTCTTTTCTCTGATTGCAGATCCGACCTCAGGAAATGACAGAAAACTGTTTCTGGATAAAAGTTAATGAAAATAAGTATGAAAATACGGATTTACTTTGTAAACTTGAGAATACATTTTGTTGCCAACAAAAAGGTAAGTTTAATGTCTTTCTTATTACATTATTATTGGAATTTTAACTTTGTCCCTTTTATATACCACATCCTAAAAAGTCTTTATTTTAAACCTCAACATTATTCAATACCTCAACATTTTCCATTACTAATGATAAATAATCTAATGAAGTAAAATGTATAAAAAGTGAATTTTGTTAGGATGTTTTGAGAGTATAATCTAGCACGAAAATTCCTTTACTTTGAAAAAAAATTGTGAGCCTTTCTCTAATCAGAATTTTGTGACTATTATTTTCTTTTATTTATCCACCCTTTATTATTAAAGGGACTCACTTGGTGAGCCACATGTTACAGAAATATCCCATTTACAGTCTCTTGAAAGAAAACTGGGTATATTATATAATCTTTTTATTAAAAGCAATGCCATTCATTTTCCAAATTGTTTTGTTATAGTTTTAACTTTTATGGTGTGATTTTTAAAAAATTAGATTATATTCTAATCTTAAAATTGAATTTATTTAACCTAGTCTCATGGACGTGCCCTTATATTTCAAGGCTGGTTTCTACACATACTGTTTGTTTTGAAGTATTATGTAAAACTTAACATTTTAGGTCTGTAGCACAGGTAATTTAGATCAATCATTGGCTTTTAATTTTCAAAGACAAGAACCTTTTTCATTATAGACAGACTTCCTTGCCACCAGCTCATGGATGGCACAGAGAGCTGACAGGGAGATTATACTGAATGAGTCCACGTGTGAGAGCTTGGTGTTGAGAGAAGGATGGGTTTCCTAAAATGCTTGCTGCTTAGTAGGAATCATGCTAGAGATGCCTCACACACCTGCTTAAATTTGATGTCTGCAAGTGATCTAAGAACACTGGCAGATACCTTACAAATTTCATCTGTATTCTTTTTAAATGCTTTTGAAGAGGTAATCATAAATTAAAAACTTTCTTAAAACAGTTGTGATTTAGTAACACTTTGTAAAAGGCTGTTGTAAAATAAAAGTGGCTTTCCAGAATCTGTAGTAAATCAAAAGCCTTTAATAGACAGCATATATTTCTCAGCAGTATTTGTCTTGGCTAATATTAAAAATGAAATTTTGTGGACTTAAAGCAGGGAGAGTTCTCACCATGGGAAAACGTGAAGTAAGCAGATTTTAATTTTACCTTTTGATTATAGAAAATCAGAATTTCCTTTGAATAAGATTAGTACACTCTTCAGGCAATCAAGGAGACTGTGTGACAGTTAAAATATGTATTTACATGTAAAACACTTCAGAATTTCAGATTCCCTAATCTGGAATTGATTAGTTTTCCCTTTGCTTTGCTAGTCGGTGTAAATGGTGGTACCTAAAAGCTGTTTAAGTAATGCTGCCATCCAGCTACTCTTTCTCTTCTCCCCTCTTTACTCTGATTACTTTCTTAATTAATGAGGCTCAAAAGGGAAACTTGTTAGCGTGTCTTTAATTTAGCTGTAGTGTTAGCCTTAAATGAAATAATTGGACCTTTAAAAAATTCCTAAGTCATCTAACTTTAGCCTTGAGATTCAAGGTTAAAAAATAATGTATTTGCTCAATCTAATAGTATTTAAATAGATTAAGGTGAAAATTGAACATTTTCTAAATATTTTTCTTCCATCCCTCTTGGGTTCCTGATTCCTTGGTAAGATCCACTGGCTCCTTGGTCTGGTATGTCTCTCGCTTGCCTCAGAAGCTGTCAGAGGATCACAACATCTTTTGTCTCTGCTGAAATACAGGTTTATGTGGGCATGAATGATACTTTTAAGGTGAATAGAAAAGATGGGCACTCCCAGGGTTGTGACCCAGAGCATTGCCAGTGTTTTATAATACCAACCAAGATAGGTTATAGCTGTAACAATTTTTTTTCTGAATTTTTTGGAACATTTGTATTCTTTTTGGCATTGCTGGTAGTTAAGTATCAAAGTGGAAAAGGCCAGTCACTGCTCCTTTTAGGGAAACAGATTTTTAATAGCAGTGATCACAAGGGAAGGAAAGAGAATGGTGTTCAGGAATCTACATGAGAGTATGGACTATTGGGGTGAACCAGTTACATCCCATTGTTTTTTTTCTTCAAGGTCTGGCACCTGATGCATTGGGTCCAAATGTTAATATTGGTTCATCTCTTATGATCTTAAAGGTTTGATACATTTTGTAACTTCTGAAGATTCAGAATTAAACGTAGCTTCTAACACATCATTTGGTCCAAGGTGAAAATCCTGTTGCCTGTCCACTCTAACATGTGGAAGACAGAGCCTTTGACTACTGGGTGATTTTATTCCATGGTTTGCATCACGGTAGGCAGAGAAGGACGAAGAATTCAGCTTATTAAACACTGTGGTGGGCTAAAATAATCTATCCCTGTATTTTATTATAGTAACTCTTTGGACTAAGAATTTGGGTTTTAGGGGCTGGGGATTTAGCTCAGCGGCATAAGCGCCTGCCTTGCAAAAGCAGGCAGTCGTGAGTTTGATCCCTGGTACCGATAAAAATGAAAAAGACAAAAAAAAAAAGAATTTGGGTTTTTTTTTTTTTTTAATTCGAAACATGGAGTTTCAGTCAGATAATTACAATGATAAATACTTTGTAAGCATTTGACATACTACACAGTGTGAATAAGGGAACTGAATCTGATCACTTAAAGAGAGACTTGCAGTTTTCTCACATAGTCTGTATTTTTTTTTTTTTTTTGGTCAATATTAGGAGGTCTTTAAAAAAAAATTCTTTGTAGTAGATACTCCTTTAAGTTTCCAGGACTTTTGTGTTCAGATTATTGGGGTTTTCAGTTCTAGCACCCAGAGCTTTGGAGAAGGAAGAAGAATTAGTGACACCTGCTGAGCTCCAGTGTCACGCCAGTCCCTAGAGCTGGGTCTTCTGTATGGTATGTTGTTTAGTGTCTCTTAACTTCTGTTGCCTTTTATTTTAACTCTTCTCCCCACGACCATTTATAACATTGTCCTTCACAGAAAAGTGCTGTGTGCCGTATGTTAAGAGGATCAGGAAGCTTCTCTAAGTCTTGTGTAAAATCAGCATTGTCTCCAAATTTCTTGTGTTATTGTTTCTTTTCAGGTTTGTGCTCCTGTGAAGTGTCTCACTTTGGCTTTCTTGCTTCTCTCTTTCCTAAGTTTATGAGATACAGCTTAGCTTTTCCTATTTCGAATTCTCTGAGAAACGTGGCGCTTTCCCAGGATACTTTCCTCAGCTCTCTCACTGTCATGGTTTGTGTTTGTATCCCCCAGGACTCATGAGTTTGCATTGTTCATTTGTGATGGTTCATTGTCTAGTGCTTGGATTGATGGTGTCAGTGCTCCACCCACATAGGGGTGGAGCCAGGATGTGATGTAATGGCAGGAAGAAGGTGTGTCTTGCTCTCTTTGCTGGTTTGAGTTTGCTGCTGGCGGCTGCCATGAACTGCAGCCCAGCCATGCCTGCCTGTCTTGGAGACAACTGAGTGTGGACTGAAACCTCCAAAAACTGTAAGAAATAAACCTTTCCTTTCCCAACTTTGGGCTTCAGGTATTTTGTCTCAGCGACAAGATAGTGACTAAGACACTCACCTTGCCCACCATTCTCTCCTTCCATTGGCTACTTGTTCAGGTCAACACGTGTGTTTGTGTATGTGGCCTTGCGTGGTCCCCAGGACGCTGGAGGAAATGAGGCCATTGTGCTCCTCACACTCACGTTGCTTGTATGCATTTAGTGAAACTCAGTAAAGTTATTAGTTGAAACATAGGAATGAAGAGTGAAACAGCACATAGTGATTTTGATTTTGAAAAAGTTAACCATATTTCACTATCTTTGGCTTCTGTTAAGACTTAACAAGGTTATAAAAGGACATTGTTTATATATTTCTCTAAAACTTAATCACAATGCTCATATATTGAACATTTGGTACCATCAAAATAGGGTCAATGACCAGTGTATTTTTTACCAGATTGGGAGCATCTGTTGGTTAATTTTTACAGGCTGTTGGAATGTGGATTAAAGTATACTAACAGGTTATTGGTGTTAGGTTTGTCGACTAAGATGAATATTAATTACTTTGATTATTTATAAACCGCTAGTAGGGATTAAAGGGTTTTTTTGGAAGTATATGGATATTCTAATTCACTTAGACTGATTTATTATGGAAATCTGGTTTCAAAATTGTTGGTTTTTTGAAGTGATTGCATTTTATAACAGGTGTGTCATATTTGCCAGATAGGGCCAATAAACCGGTTTATAAATAATCTCCAAATTGAATTATTCTGGCATGTGGAAACAGTTAATGGATTATGCACTTAGAAACAAATCAACCTTAAATTTCTTACATCATAGTTCAGTGAATAAAGTATTGGCATAGGATGTGATTAACCATGGATTTTCCCAGGGGTTTGGCTGTGTTCAAGATACCATTCTGTATTTGAAACACAATTTATTTCTACAATGGTTTATGAAGAGTCCTAATTTCCCTCATAAGTCTACATTAGGATATATAACAGATATGTGGTGCACAGGAATGCGCAATAGATTATGTCAAAATGAATGCTGCATCTCTTACATATTGTAAAGGCTTTTTTGTGTGTGTGTGTCCTGGTCTTTTTTTTTTAAATTTTGAAAAGGACATTTGAGAAATACTAATTTGGAAAGATTGGGGAAGAAGTAAACGGAAACTTAAATATTTCTGTAGGGATGTATCACTTGGATTTTTCTTCCGGTTGAATTTTGGAAGAATTGAAGACAAATGAGAGGAGAATGTCTTGTTTCATCATCAGAAAGTATCAAATTGTTATTAATTACAGTGTCTTCTCGGTTGGGTTGCTGGAGAAATGAAAATTTATTCTTAAAGCCTCATAAAAATAGAATCTAAACTAACAGGGTTTATTTAGCCTGCAGCCATAGAAGACATTCAGGTTTTCAGAATGCTTCAGTCACATGCTTAGTTGTATAGCAGATCTTTGATACAGAGTGATAAAAATTTTACAAGCCTTTGTATACTGTACAAGAAAGGAGGAGTCATGGT